GGCTGGCTGGAGGGGGGGTCGCGGTGAAGGTGGGTAAAAAAAAAAAATTGAAGTTGAAAAATGTTTTTTAAAAATAAGCTTTAGATTTATTTTTTCAACAAAAATATTGTAATTTGAAGTTGGAGGAAAGTTTTGGAAAATGTTTTCCTTAGGTTTTGAAGGGAAGTCATTTTCCTTGAATTTGAGGAAAATAAGTTGATTTGAAAAACATTTTACCCAACCAAACATGAGAAAATTGAAAAAACATTTTCCCTTCATACCAAACACACCCTTAATATTATGGATAATGCATAAGTATCCCCTAGATTATGGTTAAAATCACAGAGACACGCCTAAGCTTAACTAGAGTCCTATTACCCCTTCTAAACTAATTAAAAATAGAATAAATACAGCACAAACACTGACATGTCATAAAGAGTGTGCACAATCTTTTTAAGACAAGTGATGAGTGCACAAATTGAACACATGTCATTTTTTTATTAGTAACTTTATAATTAGTTAGTACACATCTTTATTGATAATAAAACCTATATATATTTAGTTATTTTTATTTCTTTCTTTGTAAAATATTTTTTTAAATTTCTTTTCACTTTAATTTTTTTAATTAATTTATATCTTTTCACTTTTAATTATTTTTAATAAATTATGTGTATTTAAAAAAAAACAATTTAAAGGTGTCCTTTAATTTTAATGTTTTATTTGTCCCATTTTCTTCACTAATTTTGATATCCGTTCAAAATTAACTTATTTTAAATACAAGACATTTGAAATCAAATCAAAACGAAAGACAAAGAAAATAAACTCAATAGAAAAATAAAAGAGAAAAAACAATGAATGTAAGTAAGAAAAAATAGTTTCGATACACGGTAAAAAAATGTGTATTAACTTAATTTAAATACAAGATAAAAAAAATTAAGATTTTTTAAATTATTTTTAATTAAAAATATATTTACACACATGGCGGGCGAGTGTGTACAAACACAACCAACTTGGGTGGTTGAAGGTGCCACATCATCACAAAAGGTGCACAAAAATACGAAAAAAATGAGTCCGGGGTAATAAGATCTTAGTTAAGTTTAAGTGTGTTTCTGGGATTTCGGTCATAGTCTAGAGCGGGTACTTATGCCTTATCCCTTTAATATTATTCCTAAATAACACTTTTATTTCAAATATAATCATAACAATCTTTGAGTCTCATTATGTAATGCCTCTTAATTATGTTTAATGAATAAATCCTTTATTATTATTTTTTTAAAAAAAAAACTTGCAATCCACTTAGAAAAATCATCACAACATTTCATCAAACATGAACCTTTTTAAGTAAGAGAAAATGGTCAAAAGGCCCTTCAATCTATATTCCGATTTTCAACTACACACTTCAATTTCATAAGGGTCCTATCACCCCTTCGAAGTGTTTCAAACTGAAATTATTATCACCCTAAATGCATAGCTGGCAAAGTGAGTGTATCTCACTCTCTTTGGGAGAGTGAACTCCAAAAGTAAATATTAAAATTTAATTTTGGATATCTTTTAAAAAAATTATATGTATTTTAAATTATTATTATTATTATTATTATAATAACAAAACTCACCATCTCTAAACCATTACTACCATTGTCATCTTCACTAAATTCACCATTCTTGATTCAAGAAAAAAAATTTAAACTCTCTATTAAACAAATTTGCAAAATCAATCTAATAAACTATTGATAAATTGATATGAGTATACATTTATATCACCCCAAAAAGCTTTGAATCTAATTGGAAAAAAAAAATTGATCTGAATTTAAATCAAATTCATTTGAACATCCAAAAAAATAATATTTTTTTACTAATAGACCCTTTAATTATCAATCTCAAATTTCAATCAATCAACTACATCTCAGACGTATTCTCAATCTTATTAATTGTTCAATCGCCGGTGAATCCTTTTTCTCTTCAAAATTGTCGCCGGCATCGACATGATAATGATGTGGAACGCCGGCTCCTCTTCATCTTCTCTAAGAGAATAGTGCCCATATCCAATGATCTCCATTAATGGTAACATCACTTTCTCTATTCATCCCCTCTCTTTCCTTCTTTCTCACTTTTTTTACTTTGTTTTTCAGATCTATCGACGGGCAAAGCTTCTTAACAAGTCTCACCATCATTATTCACCCCTCTTCCTCACAAGTGCAACTCCAAGATATTTGGGTTTTACAATAATGGTGAAAATGGGTATGCTGAAGATATAGGAGGAAAGAATAAAGAATAATAAAAACAATTGAAAAAAATAAAATTTAATGAAATTTTCAGGTGTCAAGCGTGTGATATTCACATGTCTAACATAGATGTGGTTATGGCTTTTTAGGGGTGTAATAATTTTAATTTTAAATACTTCAGGGGGTGATAGGACCCCCGTAAAATTGAAGTGTGTAGTTGGAAATTCGAATATAGATTGAAGGGACTTTTAGCCATTTTCTCTTTTAATTAAGTATAATTATAATAAAAAAATTTATCTCCTTACAAAAATCATCACAACATTTCACCAAATAAAATTCTTTTTAATGAACTTGAATTTAAAATTTGACAAACTAAAATTTCAATACGGTCCAATCTCATTATCATTGCTCAATCCACGATGTATAAAACAAATCCCTACAAGCAAATACATAATCCTCACTAGGCATCATCTCATTTCCATTGCTCAACCCATTTGCGATTTTTAGGGTTATTCTCTTCAGTAACATCTTACAATTTAACATGATGCATGTCCCTTTTTGCTACAAATTTGACCGTGCCCAACCAACAGTAGATTAAGAAATTTTCACTCATGGGGTTTGATATTTTAGGATGATTTGATTTTTTTGAGATTAGATCTACTATATATATATATATATATAATGAAAGATTGAGCTAGACTAGTGGTTGTTCCTGAAATTAAATGGAAAAAATAACAGAAGCTAAAAATAAAATGCTCATGATGAGGTTTGAACTTTGAACGAGCCAATTTGAAAGGCACTTACCACTGTACTGTATTTCTTTTTCACGGGGTTCAATATATATATATATATATATAATAAGGAAAGATTGAGCTAGGTTAGTGGTTGTTCCTAAAATTAAATGGGAAAAATAACAGAAGCTAAAAACAAAATGCTCACGATCAGGTTTGAACTTTGAATGGGCCAATTTGAAAGGCACTTACCATTGTAAAATATTTCTTTTTCACGGGGTTCAACATTAATATATATATATAGAAAATTTACCTTATCTATACAATGTAATTTTTTGTCGAAGGGGATTGTCCCACCCGTAGATCCACCCCAGTGCCCAACATTCAATACCAAAAAATGTGCTAAAAAATGTCCACAAATGGTAACACCAATATCCTACGAACTGCTCAAAACACACAACGACCTTTTTTATCAGCCGTGAGTTTTGGGTGTCTATGACCGGGATGGAGTAGATGTCATGTATTTCTACTAAGCGACGAGTCGCTTATTAGAAATATAGGTTATCTACTCCACCCCAGTCATAGACCTCCAAAATCTGTGACAGATTAAAAGGCTTGTCACAAATTTTGAGCAATTCGCCAAGATGTTGGTGCTGTCATTTGCGAAAATTTGTTTGCTGAATTTCTACGATGTTGAGAAAATTTGGTTGGAATTTATAGAAATGTTTTGGCATTAAATTTGGAAAGTATATGACACTATTAATTATTTACCTAATAAAACTTGGTTTCACATTTAGATAATTTGGGAAAATGCATAAGTACCCCCCAGCCTATGCCCAAAATCCCTGAGACACACCTAACATTTACTAAGGTCCTATTACCCCCTGAACTTATTTTTTAGTTAATTGTTTACCACTTTTCGGCCTACGTGGCTGAGTCCGTGATTTCACCTATGTTAAGCGTGTGGGTGCAGCTTTTAGACAGCACTGACCAATAAAAATTGGTCATGTGTTAAAATAAACTTGGAAAAAATAAATATTAACTCAATTGTCTTCTTCTTTATTATTGTTCTTCACTAGTATACGTACCCGCGCGTTGCGCGGCTATATATTAATTTAAAATTATTTTAATTTAATAAAATATCAAATACTTCAAATATTTTTATATATTGTCCTTTATTACTTTTATGTTGTATTAATAAATTAATATTTTTCATATTAAAAAATTAATATTTAATTTTTTTTCACATGAAATGTAAAATATCATAAGATTAAATGACATGTTAGTATATTTTGAATATTTATTTTTCGAATCCAAAACATTCTTTACATTCTGAAATTTGCGTCAAACTATAATAGAAAAATGATTTAATATAGAGTGGATATAAATAATGTAATAATAATACATGTACTTGCTATATACATTTTCTTATTAATCATTGAAAATAATTAATTAATCAGTTTGTTATATTATTTTTTAAAACATTAATTTAATCTCTTAAACTTTCGCAGAAGAAAATAATAATTTAAATTTTAATCAATGATTAGATGTCAAGGAA